TGGCTGCAGCAGAACTCTGTGATGGAGCAGACTGGTGTCCCCCCCAGGTCCAGCAGAACAGGCAGCACTGTGGAGGACTGGTCAGAGCTGGGATGTTGTGAGTTCTTCAGAAAAGTTACGAGCAATAGGAGGCAGCCCATCTTGCCCATTGGTTCATTGGAAGGTAACTGATGCAATATCTCATCTAGCTGTTGCCTGATAGAAGCCAGGGCATCAGCTTCAACAATATGACTACATGGCCTGGCGGCTTGTCCCACACTCCCAACGTCTTTTGAGTAAAGTGCCTCCTGCTCTCAGTTTGAAATGCCTGTAATTTCCACTGGCACTGTCTGGTTCTTGTGTCACTGCTGGTTCTGTTGAAGTCCTCTGGGTTGATTTTCTCAGTGTCTGTTTGAAATTTGAATCCCTGGTTGTGGTACTGTTGGAACCTTTCCCTTAGTTTCCTCCAGTAACGCGCCCAGCTGTATAAATGGGTGCAAATGAAGCTGCTTTGGATAAAAGTGTCAGTCAGAAGTAAATCCCACGGAGAGTAGCTGTGTACACAAATGTCGGCACCCTGCATCTCTAGTGATTTCACTGGCTGTCTTGCTGGTTTGTGGTACTCTGGGTTTTACTCGGGGGTGGGTGCGTTGTTCATGAGTGCTCAAGGACCTTGTTCTAGGCAGATGATGGCAGTCACCACCGCAGAAACCTCAGGCACCCACACGTGGTTACACCGATGGTGCTGACGCCGGTTGTCCAGAAAATCCGTGGCAAATCTGTCCAGGCCCCTCGTGCGCAGATGCGTTGTGGCACAGCAACTTGCGAACCGCTGCTAACCCTGTGCAGCAGTCTGGATGCCTTTTCCCAGAACTCCCAGAGAAGATAGTTTTTATTTCATCAGCTTAGCCTCTAGCTAGATGTGCACCTCCTGTTTTTTTTCCCCCTGAGTGTGGAGAACAGAATGCTCTGAAAATAACCTCTCTGTTAGCGTTCGGGTATTTTCTTGTTCTTTGTATCCGCGCCGGGGTCTCATGACTTGCGCAGCAGCAGATGGCCTTGGGCAGGAATGCGTTTGGCTCTTGCCTGCCTCTGCCCCCTGATGCACTGTGTTCCCGTGACACGGGCTGGGGGTGGGAGCTGGGGGCAGGACCTTGAGCGGGCTAATTCCAGAGGCTTGGGGACGCTGGAGAAGCAGTCTTACACTTACAGTGTGTCCTCTTTCACTGCATCAGAACCCTTTCGTGGAGCCTGGGAATCTTTCTGGGCCGAGGAGGAGTGTTGGCGGCAGGGTGGATGATTACAGGCCATGCGGGCCAGAAACTACAAGCAGTCGGATTTGTTCCAAGTAATTATTCCAGTGACTTAAGAGGTTGGAGGCTTTCCCTTCCCTGCTGTAGAGGAGAGCTTCTCTTAGTGGGTGAATGTTTGGGATGAAACCAGTCGCCCTGGTGGGCTTGTCTTAGCGGAGGGAAAGGCTGGGGTGCCCGGGTGAAGTGGGGGCGGCGCAGTCACAGCACAACATTGGTGCAGACCACTACAGCACACAGCCACGAGACAGCCTAAATGCACTGGCAGTTCAGCACCTGGAGTCTCTTGAAAAAGCGCTAGTAAAATTGCTATTCTCTGCCCCCAACAAAGGCAGGACACAGATACAGCAGCTGGTGACAGAGAATCTCATGTGGACACAGCAGGCACACGTGTGTGTGTGTGTGTGTGTCACACACACTGACCCAGACAGACAGAGCAAGCACACAGACATTGGAGAGAGAGCTGTGAGTCACAGTACAGTCAGCCTGTTTTTATAAGGGTGGGAAATTTCAACCTGTAAGTGGGAAAACCAGTAGTGTTCAACCACAGTGACGTCACTGTACGTGTCCGACAGGAATTTCTTGGACCATTTCTTCCAGACGGAAAGTGTCCTTGTTTTTTTTTCTGTAAACAGTGGCAGCCGTGTCCTTCAGAAGATCTCGACAAGAGTGGATATTGTTTTTCCCCCTCCTTCACTGTCTGCGTTTCAGAGTACCGGTTTGGGGCTGTCCTTGCCCTTTTTCCCCCAAGTGGTTATTTTCCCAATGAACGGTGAAACGCGAACCTGTGGGCAGCAGTGGAAACTGCATGGTAATGCGTTTAAAACGGAGAAAAGCCGCCCAGCCATGTTGTTGAAGCAGATATCCTGGCTTTTTTCACAAATCAGTTAACTAACTACCAAATGGTAAAGAGAGGCTGAAGGACCTGCCCTTGTTCTTAAGTGTACCCCAAAACCCCTTTGTGGGGGCTGTTCCCGGATGGAGAATACAAATTCTGGCTGTTCCACTGTGGTCAGTGCTTTATATTCAGGCTCTCTGGCCCTCGAGCACAGCGGCCTCTCACCAGACCCGAGAGCCCTTCTGAAATGTGTGTGCGCGCAGTGCGGTATTGCAACAACACATCATCAGCAGGGTAAAACTAACCTGTCTTACGACGGTCTAAACCCAGCTCACGTTCCCTGTTGGTGAACAATCCCAACGCTTGGTGAGTTCTGCTTCACAATGATAGGAAGAGTGGCTGGTCTGGTTCTGTACCTGGGGGGGTTAAAGGTTGGCATGAATACGCCATTGACATTAACCAGCCCATTTTGTTAGTAACATTATTTCCTCTGGCTTTATTTCAGTCGGGGGTCAGCGGTGAACGGTGGTCAGGAGAGCCGATCGTCTGAGGCCTGGAGCTTATATAGCACGTGCTGCTGTGCTCTTGAGTGGCATCTCTTCTGGGCAGTGGTGCACACAGCTGCTGTCTGACCCTGGTCTTGTTGGTCACCCCGAATCGCCTGTAATTGAGAGAGCTGGGACGCTTGTCCTGCTTCTGTCGCAGCCTAGCCCAGAGGCAGTGAGGCTGCGACCTTTGCTCCTAGGGCCTTTCCAGTGAAGATCGGTTCCCATCAAGTTCATGGTTCGGTGAACTGTGCCTGTTAATCCCTGTTGTCTGGCTCACCCAAGCGAGAGCTGGACTCTGGTGAGGATTTTTCTCCCCTTTTCTACTGCTGTTTTAGGGTCTCTGTCCCTCCCCTCCAACCTCATACAGGCACCATAACTGATGTAGATTTCTGTGCCACATCCATTTCTCTGTTACACGGGGTCGGGGGGAGTTCGTGTGTGGCTGTGGCGTTCAGGCGGGCGTTGATGATGGCAGTTTCTCAGTGAGATGCGGTGGTGCTGGAAGTTATTTACGCCAGATGATCCGCAACATGGATCCTTCTTACAATGTAACTGTGTTTGTTAAAGCCCAAAAAATGATCGGGGGCAGAGGGAGCACAGCGTAACGAGCAGTGTTAATTACGCTGAACGCGCGAGAAGGTAGTGCTCTTGCTGTGTGAGCTGAAGCTGTAGTCTGTTTCACCTCTGCTTGGCACTGCTGATTTCACACAGATGGCCCTCTGGTGGAAAGCTGCCTCAGGCACCCGAGACGCAGTGATGCCTAGAGGTTGGGCTGGAGGCGTTTATACTGACAGGCGGGCCACCGTAGTGTTAAAGAAGCAGCTGCCCCCTTGTTGATGCGGGATCAGGCTTCAGAGGGGTGTGCTGGAGTGGCTGCAGCTTAAGGACAGCCTTAGAGTAGGAGTTTCAGGAGACCCCAGTGAAACTGGCGGCAGAGTCCAGTTGACAACGCTGGCTCAGGTGCCCGTCTCCCGTCCCGTTCACAGGACTGTGCGCTGCAGAGACTGAAGTATGTCCTACAGAGGGTCGATCAGCTGTGTAAACATTCGTGTTGTGTTGCTCTTCGGGCTGAAATTCTCATTTTTCTTTTATTCTCCCCCCACCCCCGCTTAAAACTGCTCCAGTGGTGCACTCGGGTGAAAAGGCAGGAAGAGCTAAAGACAAACAGTCGTGGGTGAAACTTTGGTCGCGGGCTGACTGAACTCTCTGAACTTTCATTTTTGTTTCTGGGAGACGAAAACAAGATGAGTGCCAGTACGCCGGTAGTCAAGGGTGTTTTTTTTTTTTTACAGCTTTCGGTGGGCTTTTCGTATCTGATCTTGAAGGAGCCACTTTTCAGTTTTTATGGTTTTTGGAATTTGATTCAACTTCCTTGAGTTGGATATGTTCTGATGTTGAACGCGGATGTGCCATTGTTGTGATTAGGATAAACCTGTTTGGAGTCTGTGTTAAGTGGATTGAGCAGTGCATCGTTGTGCTACTGTTCTCTTCCTGTCTGTCTGGGTTCTCATGGGAGCTATTGCACTACCTACACATGGATCGCTGTAAGGAGGCGTGTGCGAGAGCTGAGGTTCAGTCTGTTCCCCCCCGTATTTTGGTGCTGTGTGGATCCACCTTGGTTTTTTGGGAGCTGTCCTGGTGAGTTTTCTTGTCTTCTGTCCACTCAAGCGTTCAGAGAGGAAGCCCGGCGGAGGCTGTTGCGTTTCTGTCCCGGATGTTCAGCTGGCCTTGCTGGAGTTGTCATGAGCGCGACTTTGTCCTCCTGGAGGAATGGTATTGATTTCTCACAAAGCTGTACTGGGAGGTGGTGGAGATAACGGATCCAGTTGTCTTGCCCATCGTGTTCTGCCTTGATCTTTTTTTTGTTGTTGTTGTTTCATGTGTGCTTACTCTTGCAATTCATCATTGCCCGTGAACACATGTTGCGCTCCATTTGTGAAACCAAACATCAGAAGAAACATCTAAGGCACGTCTGGCACAGCTGTATTACCCTTGCCGGTATATGTTGGAAGTCAGCCGAATATTTTCTGGGATTCCTGAGCCCATAGACTACCCCAAGGCCTTGAGACTAAGAACTGCTCAGTTGTGTAGGTCTGTTGCTGCTGTCTGTGCAGTGTGCTGAGCGTCTGTGTGACAAGCCAGCCTTCGGGGCAGTAGTGCTCAGTGCGGTCTCACCCAGGGCGTGACATGGTCCGGACTGGGCCGAGTGTCCTGTCCCTTTCCCCGAGCCTGATCCGCTGTCTAGCCCCCTGTGTCCTGGGACTGTTGAACTGTTGGCTTTTCCCTGTGCTGATCCTCTCCCTCTCCACCCCCCCCCCCTCCCAGAGAGCCCAGCGAGGAGTGCAATGGCATCACTGGAGCCCTCTCTGTGCAGACCGCGCCTGGGACGAGAGTGAGCGAGCGCGCAGCCATGGGGGACGGCCTGGACGCGGCGCAGATGTCGGCCACGCCGGGCCAGCCGTCCGTGCAGCCCGCCCCAGCCTTCCAGAACCCCGCCCCCCCGGAGACCTCCAGCTCCAACCGGCCCAAGCGCCAGACCAACCAGCTGCAGTACCTGCTCAAGGTGGTGCTGAAGACGCTGTGGAAGCACCACTTCGCCTGGCCCTTCCAGCAGCCCGTGGACGCCGTGAAGCTGAACCTGCCCGTGAGTGCGCCCGGCCTGACCCAACCCGGTCCAGTCCAGAACTCATGCTGCAGAGTAGAGAGCTTTCTTCAGACACCAGCGTGTAGGGGTGGTGTCACTTCAGCAAGGGGCCTGCATCAGACACAAAACAGACTTAGGCCGCGATTCCAAATTCCATAAAAAATTCTCCTGATTATGTATTGATATTGACAGCAGTGGATGTTAGGATCTTCTGTCTCGGCTTGTCTTGGTTTTATTTTTTTCAGTCCAGAAATTATGAAACTTCAGGAGCCATTTGCCCTGGCCTGCTGTCGAATAACTCGTATAACTTTCCTCTCAAGCTCATCACACAGCGTCTGATAGGGGGGGATTCTTTTGGCTTGTGCTGCCTGTAAGAGAGGAATGAATCCGCTGCTGTGAAATTGTGCTGTAGTTACTGGTTTTCTGTAAATCCGGGACAAGTAGAGCTTTGTCGGTTTTTGTTTTCTTTATATTTGGCTCTAGTCGAATGCACTGCACTAAAAAAAATACGATTTCTGTGTAACATTTTCCGAAAATCAGTTTTACATAACTCTCTTCATTTTCTATCATCGACTTTGTTTCAAATGAATTAAATGTCTTTTTAATGGTTTCTTAAGTCATGTACAGACTGTTCTATTTGTCTGAAGACAAAAGCATGAAGAGTAAAGTTTTTCTAATACTGGGCTTTGGAGTAAGGAGTGATATATATATATAGGATATTTTGGTGCAAGTTACAGTGAAGATCTTAGGTACTAAGATGCTGCCTCTAAGTCTCTTTTTACAGTTTTGCACTTCGGAGTGCCTGAACCAAGGTGGTTCTTGGCCTGTTTTTCTGATCTCTTTGTATACCCTGTGGGTCTATTAGCAGGATTTTAACATGCTTTTAAGTAGGAACTGTGTCTGTGACACTGCTTGGAAGCTCTTGTGCCAGACTCGAGGTTGTCTGTCAATTTCACAAAGTGTAATAAAAGCAGCGTGCTAAGCTGTGCTTGGGTGTCACTGATACGTCTTCAAGTCTACTGATTGCCCATCTCCTCTGGCCTTTGGCAGTATCGCCTGTCCCAGTGACGGAGCTTATTAAAGATGCAGGGTCTGACTCTCGAGGATCGAGATGGAAGGTGTTACAATCGAGAGCCCATTTCATCGATCTAAGGATCTCACCCAGCCATTTATTCAAGGCTTCCAGGGAGCCGCCTTCAGCAGCACCCGTTCTCAGCCCTGTTGGGGTGTGATATGCAAATCATAGTAGCATAGTAATGCTTCTGCAAGGAAGTAGATCGTGAATGACTTTGTCAGACACGCCTTAGAAAGTCTGACAGATTTCTGGTTTGAACTGTATCACCCTTTAGGAGTGCAGACCTGTTGTCAGTCCATCAGGTCTTTGTGTCAGTCTGTCATTGACATTTGAGCACAGTTTAACAGTTGCTTTGGTACTGAAGGAGGAACTGTCGTATGATGTAGTGGGTGGGGCAGGTACCCCTCTGGACACGGGGATCACTGGTGTCCAGACTGCTCTGCGGCTCGGCTGACCTGCTTGACTCTTGTCCTCCACAGGACTATTACAAGATTATCAAGTCTCCTATGGACATGGGAACAATCAAGCGACGCCTGGAGAACAGCTTCTACTGGAACGCCCAGGAATGTATTCAAGACTTCAACACGATGTTTACGAACTGCTACATCTACAACAAGGTACCGGCTGTCCACACGCCCGCCGCACGGCACACTGTGTGATTAGAAAACTGGCCTTGACACTGGCCTCCTCACACGGTCACTGTGACCTTATTTCTCTTAACCACCCCCCGCTGCTTATCTAACTCACTGTAGCCAAAACACCGCAGTGCAGAATGTCTGTGTGCCACTGCAGCTGCCTACTGCTGTCGTCAACCCCAACGCCTCATGAACCACCGTCGCACGGCTGGGCTGCTGTGTCATTGAGGGAGCTCGGGATTTGCCCAGCCGAGCTGGTCAGCGCTTACAGCAGCAGAACAGCCAAGAGAACACGCTGGTTTATTGGCAACTGGCACGAAGACAATTGAGACAAAAACGTCCAGCTGACAAGTTGGGGGGGGGAGAATGACACCTTGCGATGAGTTTTGCATTACGTTGTTCTTGGAAAAGCTTCTTCGGGGTAACGAAACGGCTCCAAAATTTGCCGGAAACTTGCAGTGAATGTCGTTGTGCATTTGCGATCTCTGCTCCTGAGCCCTTTCTGAGAAATCTTTGTGCCGCTCCAGTGCAGGCATTCGAGGGATCGTGGAAGTGCAGGGGCAGGCTGATGGGAGTGTAGGGAGAGGGAATGACAGTGGGGCTGCAGTTTGTCACATAACGTCAGCAGCCCTCTCTCTGCCAGGCCCAACCTCTCCACCAAAAATATGAAGAACGAATTCTACTTGTGCAAGAATAGGGGCTTGCGATTGCAACAGTTCCTGTGTTTGTCGTTTGTGTTGCTTTCCACACAAATGATTCGTCCCACCCCCACCCTTCAGCTCCTTGCACCTGCAATGCGCAGCTTGATTCATAGGGTGTGTGGGAGCAAAGGACATTATAAAGGAAAACCAGGCTCTTCTCAATGGAGAAGCCAGGCTCTTCACAATGGGGAGTGGTAAAGTTAGTTAACGTGAGTCGTCTTGATGTCTTGTGCGCTGCCGAAATGCGACATACCTGTAGACAGGCTTATGAGGATGCGGTCTGTAAGTAGTCGACATCCTGCCTCCGTCCCCCCACAAGCATCCCCTCGCACACAAAGTGGAACAGTCTGTTCTGTTGATCCTAACCACCGTTTGGAACAGGGCAAGGCCAACTTCACACAGGAGCAGAGGAGTTCAGGCACACCTTTCACGTTATGTCCTGTGTGTGTCCTTGTGCTGTAGCCGGGAGATGACATAGTCTTAATGGCCGAGGCCCTGGAGAAGATGTTCCTGCAGAAGATCTCGGAGATGCCCCAGGAGGAGACAGAGATCCCTGTGGTGTCGGGAAAGGGCCGGGGCCGAGGACGGAAAGACGCAGGTAGGCCAGTGAGCACGAGAGTTCAGGAGTGATGGATCAAACTCATGTGATTCAGCCCAGCTGCAGGCCTCTTCTGCAAAGAGCACAGATGAAGCTTAGAGGCAGTGTTGTCTGATTTGGCCCCGTCTGTCTGCACAGATGCCATGCAGCTAGTAAATCCTTGAGTGGCTGAGTCTGCTGTGCAGTGGGTTCATTTAGTTTCTCAAGGGCGGGAGAGGGTCATATGACAGCTGAGGACCGCATTCATATTTTGTGTGCTATTTACTTTTATGTAACCATTTCCTTGTCTCATCTGCTTTGTATATAGCTTTGTAATCATCCTTGGATGATAGGTCTAAAACCTATTAATATCCAGATAAGATTAAACACATCTTGAATAAGTAAAATACATCTTGCTCGTATAAGCTTTCCTCCTGTGCACTGTGCAGTGTAGAAGTCACTGGTCTTCTTTTTTCCTCCCAGGTGTGAGCTCGAAGCCAGGGACTGCCTTGGACTCTCCCTCCACGCCCCCCCAGACTCGCGGGCCCCCTGCCAACTCATCGCAGGGGCCGCAGACGAGGGGACCACCACCCATCCCCCCGGGGACCCAGACCAGGACACACCCCCAGCAAAACGTTCAGACTTTGCAATCACGCGGGGTACCCCCGCAACAGACTCTGCCCCAGAATCCTCAGGCGCGGGCACATCCACCTCCCTCAGGGCCGCAATACCCCTTGGCACCCCCGGACTGCATTACCCAGAATCCCATCATGACCATGACCTCCGTGCCTAACCCTGCCCAGACCACCCTACCCCCAGTGCCCATGCCACCGAGCACCGCACCGCCCAATAAAGTAAGTCTTCCTGGGGCAAGGGAGTCGGCTCAGGACAGAGTGTGGGCCTGTGGCCCTTTAGCTTAGCTGTGGCTGCTCTCTCATTATGTCAGCTTGTGGCATCCACAATAAGAATTTTCCATCTAAGATGTCTGAGGTCAAAAGTCTTAAGTTTTGTTTTTGGAGGAGATGAAGACCGCACAAGTGTGTCTCGGTGTAGTTGTTTCTCTGCAGCCCACAGAGAAAACAGGGCGTCATCTGCTCCCCATTGAAGGGGACCGCCTGTTCACCTGCCCTAGACAGCACAGTTCTGTAGTGTCGTGGCATTTTCACCTACTCTCTTCTTGAGTCTTTTGTGAAAATGTGAGGAGGGTTACAAATGAGAGGAGGTCATCCAGCTCATGTGGGTGAAGTGGTTTATTAAGTGGCTGGCTGCTAATTGACCCTCTGTTCTCACCCAGCTGTTTCTTGAAAGAAGACCATGATGTTGGCTTCATCAACCAGGGCTGTGCTCCACACTATTATAAGGGCCTTCCTTTGTATAGTGAAGTTCCCCCGGTTTCCCCGTCTTTAACTGCACCGTTTCATATCCCTGGTCTTGTTTTGTCTCCTCCCTGTCCCTCTCGTGCTCTCGCTCCTCCAGCAGAGGAAAAGCATGAAACGGAAAGCCGACACCACCACACCCACGGCCAACGACCAGATGAGCGAGTCGTCCCCGGCCCCGCCCGAGTCCAAATCTGGCAAGACGCTCCCCCGGAGGGACAGCAGCAGGCCGGCCAAGATCCCCAAGAAGGAGGCTCCAGACTCCCAGCACCCAGCCCTGGACAAGCCCGGGGTCGGGGGGGTCCTTCCGGGGACCCTGCTGGGGTCCGGGGGCGCGCAGAGCCCCAAGCAGCAGGAGCAGCTGCGGTACTGCAGCGGCATCATCAAGGACATGTTCGCCAAGAAGCACGCAGCCTACGCCTGGCCCTTCTACAAGCCCGTGGACGTGGAGGCCCTGGGCCTGCACGACTACCACGACATCATCAAGCACCCAATGGACCTCAGCACCATCAAGGTGAGCCCCCCTGGCCCCCTCGCACTGACATAATGATGCAGACCGCAGTAAGGCATGCCGGCACAAGCCAATGGATGTGGAGGATCTGGGTCTGCACAGTTGGACCTCGGCACCACCAAGGTTGGCAGGGGACCAGGGCTGACATTGCACAGGAAGCGTAAGGGAGGGAGAGGGAGGAGCAGAGAGGATGGCAGCCGCTGGCAGGTGAAGAGGTGTGTGGATTCCTTTCCGGGAGGCAGGGACAGGACAGTCAAGCGCCACAGGGGACCCTGAGCTTCAGCTGTCCCTGAAGAGTAGTCTCAAGGTTTTCGAGACTACGCCACCGGCCAAGAAGGATCCGCTTGATTTAATTCCCGTTTTCCACCCCGCAGTCTAAGCTGGAGAGCCGGCAGTACCGGGACGCCCAGGAGTTCGCGGCCGACGTGCGGTTGATGTTCTCCAACTGCTACAAGTACAACCCCCCCGACCACGAGGTGGTGGCCATGGCTCGCAAGCTGCAGGTAGGACTGCTGGCGCAAAGTCGTTTGCAAGCCTGATCATGGTGCGAGAGCACCTGCATGCTGAAATTCAGGTCCCTCGCCTGTCTTAGCTCTGTTGTTCAGAGGGGTTAAAAAGAAACTGGAACTCCCCAGCTGTGTACAAGAGACAGATCGCAGTTATTCACGAACATGGCGGAGGAGAGGAAAAACAATTTATCATGCAGGCTGTCAATGTGCGTCTTGTCCAGAATAGCTCGGGGTGTGTCTGTAGCTCTGGTGGCCCATGGAGTGGCCCTCCAAAAGCACTGTAAGAACATACAACACCACACACAGTCTGGATTTCTGCAACATGATGAGATGTACAGATAAATAAACTAGACGTCTAGAGATGCAAAGTGGAGCCAGAAGAGAACGTACTTACAAAAGACTCGGGCGCTTCTTTAGACACATTTATGTGAAAAGTCCCAGTTCACAGTGGGTTTGGGTGCAAGCTGGAAATGGAAGTTAAAAGACCTGCTGGCTGTTTTCTAGTAGTGGACTGGAGTTCAGGACTCAGGGGTGTTGTCCCTGTGTCCTGGAATAAGAGGACAATAGTAGGGCTACCCGTTGGATCCAGACTCATCTTCCTCCTCGCTCTCCCCTTGCTCCATGCCCAGGACGTGTTTGAGATGCGTTTCGCCAAGATGCCGGACGAGCCGGAGGAGGTGGCGGTGCCAGCGCCCTCCCCCGTGATCCCGGCCCCGGTGAAGCAGCAGCAGCCGCCGCCGCCGCCCTCCTCCAGTGACAGCAGCAGCGACAGCTCGTCCGACAGCGAGAGCAGCACCGACGACTCAGAGGAGGAGAGAGCCCAGCGGCTAGCAGAGCTGCAGGAACAGGTACAGACGGGGGTACAGGAGACAGCCCAGCAGCTAGCAGAGCAGCAGGAACAGGTACAGACGGGGGTACAGGAGACAGCCCAGCAACTAGCAGAGCAGCAGGAACAGGTACAGACGGGGGTACAGGAGACAGCCCAGCGGCTAGCAGCACTGCAGGAACAGGTACAGACGGAGGGAGTTTGGGCTGGAGGGAGGGGGTACAGGAGACAGCCCAGCGGCTAGCAGAGCTGCAGGAACAGGTACAGACGGGGGTACAGGGGAGAGCCCAGTGGCTAGTAGCGCTGCAGGAACAGGTACAGATGGGGGGAGTGTGGGGTGGAGAGAGGGGGTACAGGAGACAGCCCAGCGGCTAGCAGCACTGCAGGAACAGGTACAGACGGGGGTACAGGGGAGAGCCCAGTGGCTAGCAGCGCTGCAGGAACAGGTACAGACGGGGGTACAGGAGACAGCCCAGCAGCTAGCAGCGTTGCAGGAACAGGTACAGACGGGGGGAGTGGGGTGGAGGGAGGGGGTACTGGAGAGCCCAGTGGCTAGCAGCACTGCAGGAACAGGTACAGACGGGGGAAGTGGGGTGGAGGGAGGGGGTACAGGGGAGAGCCCAGTGGCTAGCAGCGCTGCAGGAACAGGTACAGACGGGGGTACAGGGGAGAGCCCAGCGGCTAACAGCACTGCAGGAACAGGTACAGACGGAGGGACGGAGTGGAGAGAGGGTACAGGGGAGAGTGAGAGCTCAGCAAGTAGCCTGGAGGGAGTAGCGGGTCAGGGGAGAGCCAGGGGGCCTGGAGGGCGCAGGGCTGCAGGAACAGGACAAGAGAGCGAGAGCTCGGCTGCTAGCGGAGCTTCAGTAACAGGTACAGCCAGAAGAGGGAGGGAGCCCAGGGGTGAGCGAGTCTACATCTGGGCACTGACCCCTGTCCCGTGGTTCTGTCCGGCAGCTGAAAGCCGTGCACGAGCAGCTGGCGGCCCTCTCCCAGCCCCAGGCCAGCAAACCAAAGAAGAAGGAGAAGGACAAGAAGGAGAAGAAGAAGGAGAAAGAGAAGGAAAAGCACAAGAAGAAGGCGCTGGCTGCAGTGGTGCTGGAGGAGGTGGAGGAGCTGCCCCAGCCCCCCAGGAAGAGCAAGAGCAAGGAACCCCCACCCAAAAAGACCAAGAAGACCAGGTGAGGACTGGGGCAGGAGTGTTGCACAGATGGTACAAATTAGCAACATTATTTATAAAAAACCAGCAGGGTGACATCCTCCAAGGGAGTTTTTCAGATGTACACTGTCGGAGATGCCCTCATACTTGCTAACCCATAAACCTATCAGATTGTGAAGTAACAGTATTAGTGTTTGGAGTTTTCTTGACGTCGTTGGCTCATTAGTCGATTTCTTTCCCTCTCCCTTGACAGTAAAAAGGAGTGTGTGAAGAACAGCCGGCCGGCCCCGCCCCCTCCCCCTGTGGCCGCAACAGTGCCTCCTGCTCTGGATTCGGAGGATGAGGGCGTGGGGGGCATGCTGGCTGGGGAGAAGTGCAAGCCCATGTCGTACGAGGAGAAGCGGCAGCTGAGCCTGGACATCAACAAGCTGCCCGGCGACAAGCTGGGCCGGGTAGTCCACATCATCCAGTCCCGCGAGCCCTCGCTCAAGAACTCCAACCCGGACGAGATCGAGATCGACTTCGAGACGCTGAAGCCCTCCACGCTGCGCGAGCTGGAGAGATACGTCTCCTCCTGCCTGCGGAAGAAGAAGAAGGTCCCTGGTGAGTGCGGGTCTCCCTTCTCTCCCTCACACCTGTCTCTATCCTCCCCTGTCCCTCCCGTCTTCATCCTGCCCTCTCGCTCGCAGTGGCAGAGAAGACCATGGAGATGATGGGTGCCATGAAGACGAAGGCCGGCTCTTCGTCGGACTCGGGGAGCAGCAGCGAGACCAGCTCCTCGGACAGCGAGGACTCGGACGCAGGTACGCACAGGGGAACACCAGAACCTTATGTGGGCAGGCCTCTCAGCTTCGTGAGGTTATTAGTCACTTATCGATCTTTTATCTGCGTGTGATACACAAGTACTAGGATTGACCGAAGTGAAGTGGCTTGTAAAAGGCTTTCTTTTTTTCTCCTCCTGCAGGAATGGCACCCAAAATAAAGAAGAGAGGCCATTCTGGGAAGGAGCAGAAGAAGGTAAACGGGACTGATCTCTGAAAAAAGTAAAGACCAAAGGTATAGCTTAGCCTGTATCCCTTTTGCCTTGCGTGGCCCTTTAAGCCGAACAACAGGAGGTACGTCTGGACTGTCAGATCCTGGTCTGTGACTCAGAACCACGTCAACCCTGGTTTCCTATTGGTCTGTGATGTGGTTTCAAACGATCAGCTGATGCCCTCTTGTCTCCTGTCTCCCCTTCCGTAGCACCATGGACACCCAGTGCCCGGCGTGGCCCCCGCAGCTCTGCCCGCCCAGCAGCCGGCTCCCGTGGTGCAGCCCGTGCCCCCGCCCCAGCTGAAGCAGTCCCCCCCCTCGTACGTGCCGCCGCCCGTGCCGGCAATGGACTCGGCGCAGCTGCTGGGCGGCTCCTTCGACGGCCTGCCGCACTTCGGCCTGGTGCACCTGCCTCCGCAGCAGCCCTCGCCCCCGGCCCCGCACCTCAACGCGCACCCCGCTGCCAGCGTGGTCTCTCCCCCGCCAGAGGCGCACCCGTACCTCAGCCAGCACAGCGTCCTCGCCTCCCCAGGTCAGTGTGGCCACGCTGACCTTCGGACCGCCTGGCTCCCCCCCCAGAGGCAGACCTCTTCCTGTTCTCTTAGTTTGCCGAATCCTCCCAGTTTACCAGTTGATGTGGCGAGCTTTCATGGCTCCTGTGGAATGGGTAGAATGGCAGCACATTTCCTTAGTCTTGGTCCGGCAGTGAGGACTGGACTCAGACCTTGTCTGACCTTCATCCTGTGCGTTTGTGCGCCTCAGTCTTTGTGACGTCGGCAGAAAGCAGCAGACGGTTTGTGCCCAAGGTAGCAAACTCTCCTGCCAGTGTGGGCTGAGACATGGCAGTGCTGGTGCAGAACAGGACTGCCCACGAGGCCTGTGTGCCAGAGCTTGCCCCTCAGAGTGAAGGTCTACAGGTGTGCTTAGCTGTGGGTCTGAACTGTTACCAGAGCAAGATATCTGTGCAGCGAGTTGCGATAGTTGTTAGGCAGCTTTCATTTTTCTTGTGTTTGGTGATTGTTGTACCATCGTGGGGTACATGATGCCTTTTCAGAGCCTGATTTTTTTAAGAGTTTTTCATGTTCTTTATTTTCCTGAAGAATAAAATGTATAATTCTATTGTTTTCATTCTATAGTTATGACGTATCTCAGGTTTCAAGGTCTGACCGGCTTCTGTGACTTTGATGGAGGACAGATTTTGAGAACCACAGTGCAGGCTGCAGTAAGGGTTAAGCACCACCGCTTTAGAGGAGGGCAAGGCTCTGCACGGAAAGCCAGTTTGATCCGGGCTCGTACTGAAGGCAGAGCGTTTTTTTCTCTCCCCAGCTCTGCACAACGCCTTGCCCCAGCAGCCTTCGAGACCCAGCAACCGCGCAGCACCTCTACCTCCCAAACCGCCGCAGCCACCCGCGCAGCCGCCGCAGCCACCCATGCAGCAGCAGCCGCCGCCGCACCACCAGACCGGCCACATCCACCACCACCCCTCGCCGGCGGCGCCGCCCCCGCACCGGCCGCACGCGCCCTCGCCCACGCTCACGCCGCAGGGGCTGCTGTCCGCCCAGCCCCCGCAGGCCCTCCTGGAGGACGACGACGAGCAGCCGCCCGCCCCGCAACACCACGGACTACCTCTGAACCAGGTGCAGCTCTACCTGCAGCACCTGCAGAACCGCCAGCAGCAGCAGCAGCAGCAACAACAACAGCAGCAGCAGCAGACCTCTTTGCTGCAGTCCGTGCAGGTCCAGTCTCAGGCCCAGCCCACCCCGCAGGGCCCAGCCCAGCAACCCGCACAACCGCAACCTGCGCAGCAGCAGCAGCAGCAGGCACCGCCAGCCCAGGTTCCCCCTCCTCAGACTCATGCGGGGCAGCAGAGGCACCTGCACATGCAGTCGCTCCCTTACCCTCAGTCCCAGCACATCCAGGGGCCCCCGCACCAACAGCAGCAGCAGCAGCAGCAGCAGCACAAGGGGGCGGTCCAGGCCACCAAGTCGCAACCGATCATACAGCACCACCACCACCCCTCGCCCCGCCAACACAAGGCCGACCCCTATGCTGGTAAGCACAGCCATTCTTGGTCGCTCTCTGCTCTTCCCTCCCGCACTCGACAGCACCTCGAGGGGCCCTGATCCTACCCTTATTCCATCTCGGAACGGAGCTCTACCCAGTGTCCTTTGTGGATAAGAAGGCTAGGGGTTGGGGGAAGGGAGAGGGATGGGACAAGTGGAGCCTAAGTTGTGGACCTGTTACTTGCCCTGACTCTTGTCTTCTTTGACCCAGGACACATGAGAGAGAACCCCTCTCCTCTGATGATGCACTCTCCCCAGATGGCTCAGTACCCTTCCATCGTGCATCTGTCTCCTCCGCATCAGAACCTGCAGCCTAAGAAACCGGTGAATATTATCCGTACACGGCACTTCACAGAGGTCTCCTTAGGGTTTAGGATAGGAGTTCCAGGGTTGCCAACAATGAGCACCTTTTTGTTTTTACACAAAACCTGGGCATATCTGGAGCAAGCTGCCTGGCTACATCGCAGGTACATCTATTGGCTACATCTGTTGCTCAAGATCCTCGGTTTAATAATGCTAGTATCCATACATACCTGACAGATACCCCTGCCCCTTGCTCTTGCTCCTCCGTGGAATTGGCGGGGCTGATCTGGAAGCCGTGTGTAGTTCCTGGTGTGCCAGGTGTGGGCTGAGGGCAGCAGCACGCTTAGGATGGATGTCATTTCAAGGTGGAAGGCAGAGGGGGGTCATTCAAAGAAGCCCATCCTGCAGCTGCAGAATGGACGCTTGTATCACTGAATACGGTCAGTGACCCAGAAAGGGCCCGGAGCCTTGCTTTTCCGCTGCGGAGAGCCGGGTCCTCTGGCACGCTGTTGGTTTGCACTCCCAATCCGGGAAGAAAGTTCCTGAGCCAAGAGGTGGCAGGTTCCTGGTGGCATTTGACAGAGGGTAGAGAAAAGGGAGGCGTGAAGTTCAGCTGAGCCGCAGTGCTCTCCCCTTGTGTCCCATGCTCCACCCGTTTGCCGTGTTGTGCGTCTGTGTGTGACGCGTGTTGTCTGTGTGTGTGATGGCAGGAGCAGCGACCAGCCCCGCCTCATGGGGGCGTGAAGGAGGAGAAGATGCCCCCGTCGCCGGTGATCCGTGGAGAGCCCTTCAGCCCCACCATGCGCCAAGAGCCCCCCAAGCATCCCGACAAGCCCCCGCAGCAAGGACACGCCCAGCAGAGTGAGTGTTTCAACATGCATGCAGAGAGAGTACAGGTGTCCCCATTCCCCAGTCACTGGCTGATTGTGGGACTTGTGTTGGACTAAGGCCGTGGTACAGTACAGTCATTGAGTGCCCACACTGCCATGTCTAGTTTTAGACTGATGACGCTCTGCATTAGCGACTCTGACCCTTTGACTTGACTGGGGGGCTTTAATCCTCTTCCCCGTTCGGTCCCCATTCTTTGCACACTGAAGTGAACAGAAATATCTGGGTTGCCCTTTTTTTCTGCCTTGTCTTTGAGCGTGGCAGCTCAAGCACGATATGCGGGGATGCACAGCAGCTTTCAGCAGAGTGAGCGGGAAAGAAAGTGCCTGCAGTTGAGTGTTTTGTTGGCCCAGGTACCGGAGAATCTCGCCTGCTGGATGGCGGGGAAAGTGCGTAGATCTGGTTCTTTCCAATTGGTCTGGACCACCGGCCCTAGTGCCACTGATGGTGGGCCCCAGACAGAGAAATTAGCCTGATCTCTCATTCGTCCGGGACCTGAAGAATACGGGTCCCTGGGCCAGCCTGGCACAAAACTCTGGTGTGTCCCCAAGACCAGAGCTATGTGGGACAGAGTGTCCTAGGTTGTACAGAATCCTTCCTCAAAGGAGGAAATCTGACTGCTTGATGGCTTTAAATGGCAGAAGATGGGACTGGCGGTTATGGGCCCAGGACCTTTTTTGAGGATGGGGCTGTGCCTTTATAACCTTGAGTGCTGTTTGCTGTTGTCCTTCACTCAGATTGCCCCAGTGAATTACACAGCTATATAGATGGGTATAATTTGAAGTCAGGCTTAAGTTAGGCTATTAGCATCTGCTGAATCGAATATGATGTGAGCTCTTGTTGGTTCAAAATTGCATTTTTTAATTTGTCTGTCTCTTTTCAACTGTTTTGTTTTTTTGTATGATGCTTTGAAATAGTTTGTGACCTGAGGTGTGCTTTACGGAGTGAGGATTAGCTTAATTGGTAAATGCACAGGGGAATAAAAAGGCAAAGTTTGTTCTTTGGTCTTTGTTGCCATCTTTCTCTGGCAGGAGGAAGTTTTAAACTAGTGGTACAGAGAATCCTGTGGACATTTTTAGGTCAGAGCAGTGCTCCTTTGCCCTGAGGTCAAAGCCCGCCTGTCTGCCTCTATAGCCCTCCGAGATGAGCAGTGTGTATGTAACGGATCTGTGCTGAGCTCTTTGTGCGTTTGCGCTCCAGGATCAGATGTGAGGCAGATGGAGAGTTCCCGGCCTGTGATACGGCCCTCAGAGCAGAGTGCCCCTCCATCCTCTGGACCGGACAAGGATAAGCTCAAGCAGGAGCCCAAAACGCCCGTCGCCCCCAAAAAGGTAACACGAGTCAGTTGCAGAGAGGACAAGTTTCTCCATGGAGGTGGGCTAGTGGGTGGGTGTCAAGACACCACTTTCCAGCAGGCTGCACCTCTTCTCCATCATTCCTAAAGAGCCGACCACAGCTGTACCCAGCTCGTCTGAGGGCCGGTTGGTCTGTTGGTGTTGTCTATCTGTGGTCGCCGATCTGGTCTGGTTGTAGGGGGTATAAGCCTGGCAGCAGTTTGGGTGTATGGGATGTGTGTCTCCGGCTCGGGTTCGGCTGAAGGTGGGGGTGGCGTGTGTCTCTGGATGGGGTTTGGCTGTCGCTTGGAGACAGAGCAATGATCCTGTTCTCTCGTTCCTCCAGGACCTGAAGCTGAAGAACATGGGTCCCTGGGCCAGCCTGGCACAGAAGTCGATGGCAGCGCCCTCGTCCACGGTGAAGTCCTCCAGCGACAGCTTCGAGCAGTTCCGGCGCGCAGCGCGGGAGAAGGAGGAGCGGGAGAAGGCGCTGAAGGCCCAGGCGGAGCAGGCCGAGAAGGAGAGGATGCGCCGGGAGCAGGAGAGGCTCAGGTGAGTGCGGCGGGGGGAACTGAGGGAGGAGAGAGCGATGGTGGGGGAGAGAGATGTATAAACCCAAGTGAAAGGGTCGGCTCTTCCACACCCTGCTGCAGCCGTGCCGGGGCTGACCGGTCTTCTGTGTCCCAGGAGCCGTGATGAGGAGGACTCTCTGGAGCACGTGCGCAGGGCGCATGAGGAGGCGCGGCGACGGCAGGAGCAGGCGGCGCAGGCCCAGCAGGCCGTGCAGGCGGCGCAGGCCCAGCAGGCCGTGCAGGCCGCACAGGCCCAGCAAGCCCAGCAAGCCGCGCAGGCACAGCAAGCCCAGCAGGCGCAGCAGCAGCAGCAACAGGTGCAACAGGTGCAGGCCGTGGCCTCCTCTCAGAGCCAGGCCGCCCCCCAGCAGCAGCAGCAGCAGCAGCAGCAGCCTCCCCCCTCGCAGTCCGCCCTCGACCAGCAGAGGGACCTGGCGCGCCGGAGGGAGCAGGAGAGGCGGAGGAGAGAGGCGGTGAGTGTCCGAAGGGTAGAGGATGGGTCCGAGGGTCTCGCCCAGGCTGTCGACTTCAGCGGCGTGGCTGGGGAGGGGGCAAGCCCCCACAGCTCTTGGGGGGGAATAAAAGTGGAGTTGTTGCCTAGGGGTCGGTGTGTCTCCTGGGCCTCATTCCCATCCTGGAACCGGACAGCAAGTGCTGCTGGGTCAGGTGGACATTTTCATACACCCACTTCTGCACTTTGTTTGAATTTCGGTCAGATATCCTGAGACAGAGAGGAGACTTTCCGTCTCTGGGTGCACCAGGCCCTGCTACTGCAGACAGTAAGAGAGAGACTGAATGTGTAGCCGAGTTGCACACACGGGTATCGAGCTGGCCCTTGGGCTGCTCGGACTGTGTATCACAGCTGTTGCCTGTCTACAGCGTAGCTGGCTCTTCCCAAGCCAGGGCATAGACAAAACTTTCTCGAATTTTGCTTTTGTTTTTTTGTTTCAGATGGAATCCACCATCGACATGAATTTCCAGAGCGACCTGATGGCAATCTTTGAGGAGAACCTGTTCTGAAAGCAAAGCGAAACACAAACAAACATTTCGTGGAGTGGACCGAAAGAATTTTAAATGACAAAAAAAAAACAATTAAAACGCGAAAGCGAACCTTGATGGGACAAGCAGCGGGACTTCCTTGTGAGGAAGCAGGAGTAAGTTCGGCGGGATAATTAAATCGCCGGGAATAGTCTGTGGAAAGGAGGACGGCGGGGGGGGAACCCGACAAGGACAAAGCCTTTTCTGCGGAGTCTCGGCTCGGCCCCAGTGGGATTGGAAGGACCAGCGGGATCGCTTGGCTTCTTGGTTTGTTCGTTTGTCGTTCCTCCCGGATTTCCGCGTCGCCAGGGACGAGCCCCCTCTTTCCGCGTGTTGCCGGGGGAGTGGGAGGGGTGATCACCGATCGCCGCGGCCGGTGCGCGCCGGGGAGGCTGGGGGGGGGGCGGCGGGGTAAGGGGGGTGTCCAGGAGAAGAAACCCCGAACCGGGAGCAGCCGGACCGACGGGAGCGATCCGGGGGGGCAAAGGTGACGGATGACAACCAATTTTTTGCGTTTCGTGTTGGAATTTAAAAAAAACATGGAAGAGCTTGTGGATGTGGGGGGAGGGGGGGTTGGGGGGGGGCATGGGTAACAAGGTCGCAATTTTATTGGGGGGGGTCTTAGGACCCCATGAGGGCGGGGGGCGGTGGGGTGGGGTGTTCATGGTAAAACCTGCCTTACACATCTGACTTGTAAACACACAATATAAATATATATATTATATATATACACACCTGGAGATATGAACAAAAACGGATACAACAGCAAATGCAGTCTCGCCGGGAGCAGAGGTTCTGTGCTTTTTCCAGTCTGTAGGATCTACTGTAAAGTTTTTTCTTAGCCAGCCTGCCCCTCCTGTCCTCTCACACAGACCTGTCCGAGAGCTGTCTATGCCTTTTTCCCTGTGCAGAGTGCGGAGAGCTTTCTTTTAACATGGGTTATATATATTTGTAATTTGTTTTTTTTTATATATATATAAATGCTTTGTTTTTTTCCTCTCTTCACCCTACATCAAAAGGTAGCTAGTATTAAAAAAAAAAGTCTGCTGTCTCTCCCCTCACACTCCCCCCCGCAGGATCAGCGGCCCATCCGTGCTCGCTGCTGGACCTCGCCCGGCTCGCGGCAGCTCGGAGCGGAACCAAACCCGGGGGGGTGTCTTTAAAAGGGCCACTGTTCTTGTGGACTTGAGCCGTCGTCTTGTTGAGATGTGGAATTACAGCCAGCCCCTCGCAGGGAGTGTGGATTTCCTGTGTCCCCCGACTGCTAGGGCGGTTGAGAGAGCACCTCTGGAACTCCCCTGCTCCGTTCTGGTTCTGGCCCGGCCGTCCCTCTCTCCTGAACCAGTCCTCCGAGACGAGGGGCCGGATAGCCGGTGGCCACCACCCCGTCCCCCCTCCTCTTAACACCCCTCGTCGCTAGATAGCTGGATCTCGGGGGGGCAAGACGACTCTCTACCAAAGCTCATGCATGTCTGTCCAGGCCAGCACGCTCGACTTCTCCGCTGCGTGTACAAGGAGGAGGGTGCACTTCACAGTCAGTAGAGGGGCGAACGAGTCGGCTGAGAACTCAAACTTTCTTTTTGGGGGGAGGCGGGGGGGATAATTTATATCATTGTTCTTGTTAAATAGTAGTGGAGTGCAGGTCCCTCTTCTTTGGGGTTTTTCTAACCGCTAGGGGGCGCAGTTTATCCTCTCCCGTTTTCTCACATGGTGTTTCTACAGTGCCTGTATTGTACAGTGACTATAGTCGGCAAAATTATTTAATTGTTAAGAGGTGGTTTGGGGGGGGTCGTGGGGGGTGGATGTGTGACCCTGTTGCTCTGTTGAACCTGGAGACGGTGTGCAAGGACAGAAATGAGACACTTAAGACGATTTAAATCAGTTTTTACGAAAAACAGTTTTAGCTGGGGTTTTTTTTATGCACAACAAAAACATTTTTTTCCATCTAATTCATTGTTTAACGGAAACGCTTTAGAGACACATGCGCGCGCATTTATATACACACACGTGTGTGTTTATGTATAGTGGAGTGAGCCTGAGGAAAGTGCAGTCCTGTGTTCGAGTTCTCCAAGCTATCTTTTTGTTTTTTTTAATTGCGGGTGGAAAACTTAAGTGAACATCTGTAATGAGTATAATGTTGTCACTTTCATTTCTCCATTTCAGTGAAGTCCATATATATATAAATATTTTGTTTTTGTTTGTTCAGTTTCAAAAACATTTAACAAAAGGAGAAAAAAATGCAAAAATTCACTTTCACCTTTTTTTCTTCATTCCTTTCTGCCTTTTAATGTCTGAGTTTTTTTAATGTTAACAGTTGGATGTTATGTGCCATAGAAACCCTCTACGCAGTACAGTGCCGACATCCGTGTCGGACAGAATTTTTCAATTTTATTTTTGTGTTTATTTTATTATTTTTTTTCCTTGATTACGCCAGTTGGTATATCACGGAGTAAGGTAATAGAGGAATACAATTCAGTCTGTAATGATCATGGAATAAACATCTCTTTTTTTAAAAAAAAACTGACATCCGAGTGCTTCTCTTGGTCTGCTGGATTCTGCTTGGCAAGACTGTCCTGGATTTCTGTCGGGAGGAAAGACGAAGGTTCATGGTAAATCCAGGTAACCTGTTGTGCATTTTCTGCAAAACTACATATATATGCACCTTTCATGGTACATGTACATCACCTCAAGTAGCCCAGTTGTCAGGTTTGGGGTGATCAGTGCAGTGAAGTCAAGGGCACTGGGAGTTGCAGTGTAAAGGGAATTTGAAGGCACGGTTAGGAAGTGAGGCAGCACTGGCTCAGTGGTCAGCATTGCTGTCTTGCAGCTCTGGGGCCCTCTGTTCAGTTCCTGGGGTGCTGTCTGTGTGGAGTTTGCATGTTCTCCCCATGTTTGCATGGGTTCCTCTGGGTATAGTCCCAAGACATGCTGGTGGGTTAATTGGCTTCTTGGACAGTTGACCCTGGCGTGGGTGTGTGCCCTGCAATGGACTGGTGTCCATCTGCCTTGTGCCTGTTGCTTGCTGGGATAGGCTCCAGCTCACCCGCCTGAGCTGTGTTGAAAGAAGCAGTTGGAAGATGGTTGGATGGATATTTTTATAGCATCTTGTAAATGTGGGTACAACTCCTGAAGGTGCTGTCTAGTAACCCGGTCGCGTCAGGTTTGCTGAGGGCACTGGGAGCTGGATATGGAAAGGGAATTTGAAGGCGGGGCTGGGAAGTGCAGCCGGACTCGGACGTTCACAGCTCCGCCTGGGAGCAGCAGGACAGGAAGCCCAGATTCCCCAGGTCTCCCAGTGGTCAGAGCCGGGAATCGGGAACTGAAAGAGGGCCGGAGTCCGCTGGTCATGCAAGGAGCAAGAGCTTTGTGAATTTACAAAGGCGTCCTTCGTGAGTCTCCCACCCTTCCTGCTGTTCTACGGCCCAGCTCTCGGGGACTGGAGCTGAGCCAGTCACAGTCTTCAGAGGTGGGGTGCAAGCTGGTGACCAGCAGGCGGGCCTCCTGCTGAAGATGCTCCCCGGGAGGCCTGGGCGTCAGCCGAGCGTGACCCGTGCCAGACTCCTTGGGCTGCTGCTGCTGCTGCTGCTCTGGGGTGCACTGCAGGACTGACGCCTGGGGGCGTCGGGAACCCTGAGGCCCGGGGGGCGGGTACTTTGTTGGGGACCAGGATGTGCCCAGCCTCACTCCCTACATAGCCAGCAGGTGTGCCACCCCAGAGGCCTCGGGAGGGCGAGGTCGCTTCTGTCGGGTGACGCGTGGCCCTGTCTGGGTTTTCTGGGTGTATTCGTGCTTCTCCCAGGGTTCAAGAACGTTTCGACACACAGATTCTGGAACCACTGTCCACAGCGGGGGGTGGCACAGTGGTCAGCAGTGCTGTCTCGCCCAGGTACCCTGGATGAAGTTTCTGGGGTGCTGTCTGTGTGGAGTTTGTATGCTCTCTCCCGGTTTGCATGGGCTTCCTTGGGGTGCTCTGGTTTCCTCCCACAGTCCACAGACCAGCTGGTTCGTTGGAATGAGGAAGATTGGGCCCTGGTGTCAGTGTGTGTGTTTCTGTGTGCCCGGTGAAGGAGTAGTCCTGTCCCGGGCATACCCTGCCTTGCACCCTTGCTCGCCGGGGATAGACTCCGGCTCTCCTGTGACCCTGAACTGGAAGCAGTTGTGAGAAGATGGATGGATGTCTACAGCTGCATTTGGGGGAGCAATCTCGGGGTACCGCAGTAGTGTTGCAGGCAGGATTCAAACAATTTCCAGTCATGAGTCCAAACGGTCTCCATGCTGCCACACTGTGTCTACAGCACGTGTGAAGATATCACGTACAGTTCCTTTAAAACCCACGCAGAGGCCGTCAGTGAGACGATTAACTTGAAGCAGGTAATTCCGCTCAGATGTGTAAGGCTGGTCAGGCCGGTAGCTTCAGAACTTACCCAACATCTCGGCTTGAAAACGCACACGTGCCAAAGCAGAGCTCTGTACAAAGCGATTACTATTGAAAGAATGTATGCAATGAAGACCGTAGCCCCGATGTTTAGGCTAGGGAAAATCGTGGCAAAGTTCAAGACCGAGACAGGACAAATAGGCCGACATTCCTACGGTTCTCCTGCGCCCTCCAGCGGAGAAAGAGAGAACTCTTTTCCCGGAAAAGTCCCCGGGTTCTTCTCGCGGTCGAGAAACACGATGGTTTCTTTTTACCATTTAAAAAAGCACGTATACAACACGTACTGTGCCAGTCCACGCAGGACAGAACAACCCACTGCAAGCCTGGACGTGTGCAATGTGTGCGTCGGGGTGAGTTTATAATGTGAGCGCTAAATACATCAAACCAAGGACCTGTACTCATTGTCTCAGTTTCTACGTCTAGGTAGGAAAGACTGAGAGACGTCGCGGATAATGTACGTATGGAGGTACCCTCTATTAAGACGCAGCGCGCCTTCATTTCCCACCGAAAACAGGACTGGGGGAGGAGGGAAGATGTACGAGTCATGTGATTGCGGCTGGATGGACCAATGGGAATCTCAATCCTTGAGCGACGTTATTTTCCACGAATCAGAATTTCCTTTCCCTGCATGGTATCCCCGCCTCTGACGCAGGTATCATCCAATAGCTTACGCGAGCGGGGGACGAAGAGTTAAATTGACAACCGTGTCAGCCAGTTACAATCTTGCTTTTTGTTTTGTGGGCTGGGCAGTGATGAGAAGCAGTTCCGGTTGCGCTGTGTGATCTCTGGACTTCTCCGAAAGGAAGAATCTGTCACTGACGTAAATATTTCTAAAATATAAAAAAATGTCCGTCTGCAATATTTACACTAATGCTGCTTACTTTCCAAATACTTTAGCTGATACGCAAAAGCCGCCCGACGTCAAAACCTTCCTATACAGTTAATTGTACTGTTTAAACTATTTTGTGAGTTTGTATTAAAAATCGGATATTTCAGTTGCTCATTTCGTTTGTAATCTTTCACTGTATTTAAATGAAAACAGTGTTACGACGGAAGGTTATTGTCAGGCGTGTTTAATTAAAAAATCACGTTTTTTTCCAGAAATATATATTTCTATAAAATACCGTTAATTAAAAACAAATATTGTATTCGAGCAATTCGTATTGGTTTCCGTTGAAATCGACGGATTCTTTTCCTACTACAGCCGACCTTCTGTAACAACGCCGGTTTTTTTAAATCATGCCAGTACACATTATTCATCTTTTCCTTGAAACGAGGAATTTGACCTCAGCTTCTGGGCTCTGAACGTTGTTTTGTGGCCAATGCAAAGACTTCTGACACTGGTACTTTCTGATTCAAGAACTTGACAGTTCCCCACCGTGAGTGTAATACAACCAGTTTTTAATCTATACAAAATAACGTTATACCTCAAAAAAGTTCGATATTCCTGTCGCCCTCTGCTGTCGATCGTGCGCAGTGTATCGTAATTAGTTTCTAATTGTCATTCATTCCTGCCACGAAAAAAGCGGATCGTTTTTAACCTCAATTGAACGATTATTGGGCGACACGGTGGCGCAGGGATTAGCATTGCTGCCTCACAGCGCTGGGGCCCTGGGTTGAATTCTGGACCTGAGGTGCTGTCTGTGTGGAGTCTGCATGTTCTCCCCGGGTTCGCGTGGGTTTCCTCTGGGCTCTGCAGTTTCCTCCCACAGTCCAAAGACAAGCTGGTGGGTTAACTGGCTTCTGGGAAAACTGGCCCTGTGTGATGGTGTGTGTCTGAGTGGCAGGTTACCCTGTGTTGGGCTGGCATCCAGGCCAGCAGGGTGTCCAGCATGACGCCTGTCGCTTGCTGGGATAGGCTCCTGCTCCGCTTCGACTCTGAATCGGAAGAAGTGGTGGATGAGCAATTGTTCAAATACTGTATCCATTGCTGTTGCTTTGTAAAGCATTTATTTTTCCTATCGTTCTTAAAGAGGCATCGGCATCAACAGCAGTGACAGGTGCACAGCAGCAGTGATCCAGTCATTCCCAGGTCTGACACTATGCCTGTAGACCACCAGCCTGGGGAAATGCCTACAGAAACCATGCTTTTGATAAAAGAATGCAACAGCACGAATTTATAAGCGATAAGTTTGACCAGGAACCACGTATACATCTACATACAAATATAGGATAGACAGCTGTGTGGAATTCACCTCTGCTGTAGATACAGAATACTCAGATAAATGGCTCAATAAGCACAGAAGCAAATTAGAGAACATGTATATCAGAATCAGAAGCTTTATTTGCCAAGTACAAGATATACAAAACAGACAAGCTGGTGGATTAACTGGCTTCTGGGAAAACTGGCCCTTTGTGATTGCGTGTGTCTTGGTGCAGGTGTCGACATAAATTCCAATCAGATAAAAGTAAAAAAAAAAAGAAATCTACCGATGATAATAATAATAATATAAGTGCTTGATAAAAACAAGGTTCTGTGATACGTACAATTTAAAAGTATGTACAGCTGGGTCATAACATGTACAGTGACTTCTGCGTATATTTACAGAAAGTATCGGCGGCGTGTGCCTGTGTGAAATGAAGATGTGCAACTGGTCACAGAGGGGGCGTGAGAGATTTGTCCTTGTTTATAGGAGTCACGGCCTGGGGGAAGAAGCTGGGCGGGTGTCGGTTAGTCGTGGTTTTTGGGGCTCTCGTGCTTGGTCTCCGCTGAGAGGGAAAACCCTGGAGGAGAGAGTGGCCATGCTTCTCCCCACCCTCCTTCTTATCTTGTCGAGGACAGATCTGCAAGGGGAGCTGTCAGCCGATGAGTTTCTCTGCACATCGCTGTCGTTTCCACTGTGAGGGTGGTGATGCAGAGCCAAACCCAACAGAAATAGAAGGTGTCGTGACTGATCCTGTTGTGGCTGTGTAGAATTGGGCCAGCAGTGCTTGTGACAGCCCAACTTCCTGAAGCTGTCTAGGAAACTGCATGTGCTGTTGGGCCTTCTTGGTAATTGTGGTGATGTTCCTGTCCCAGTCAAGGTCCTGCTGGATGACAGTTCCTAAAAATGTGTCAGGCTGTGCTCTGCCACCCGTGAAACCACGTCTTTCCAAAGGAAGGAGGGGGGTGGGCTTCTTCCTGAAATCAACGCCCGTCTCCGCAGTTCTTTGTGTATTCAGCTCCAAGTTGTTGACTCCACACCGTGACACCAGGGGGTTTACTTCCTCCCGGTCTGTGGATTCATCACCGTTCGTGATAAGACCAACCAGAGTGGTGTCGTCCGCCAACGTGAGAAGTCTGACAGATTGATGTACTGATAGATAGATGTACAGTCGTTGGTGTGAAGTGAGTAGAGCGCGGGTGGAAGCACACAGCCCCGTGGGGCGCCAGTATTGAGAAGGACAGGGTCCGAAACGTGGCCGCCCGCCCTGACGTCCTGTTTCCTATTGGTGAAAAAGTCGTGGATCCAATGGCAGGCAGGGTGGGGCACATTGAGCTGCCTCAACTGATCCCGAAGTAGATCAGGGCCGATAGTGTTGAAAGCAGAGCTAAAGTCTACAAACAGAAGACGGGCATAAGTGTGAGAGCTGTCCAGGTGCTGCAGGGTGTAATGCAGAGCCAGACTGATGGCATCGTCAACAGACCTGTTCGCTCTGTTTGCAAACCGCAGTGAGTCCTGAAGAGCGTCAGCCAGGATTGTGAGGGGATGCAGAAGGAGTCTCTCAGAGCACTTCACAACGACCGGTCTGTAGCCATTCAGGCAGGAGATCTCCTGTTTCTTGGGAACCGGAATGATAACGGGGGGTTTGAAACAAGCAGGCACCGCGCACTGGGCCAGGGACTGGTTGAAAAGATCAGCAAAGACGGAAGATGGCGGTTCAGCCCAGCGATCAGGGCCGGGCGCCCTCCTAATCTTCTGTTTCTGAAAAATGAGCAGCTCGCCTGATGCTCAGCAGGGTGCGGGGTGCGAACTGGCGGGGGTGGAAGGGAGAGAGGAAGTGTAAAAGGTGTCGCAGACTGACTGTGGCTGGGCTGGGGGGAGGGGGTGAGGTGGAGACCCTTTGACTCTCCAATCGCGAATAGAAAATGTTAAGCTGGTTTGCAAGTGCGCGGTCTGCTGCAGTATTACAAGGTTTTGATTTGTAGTTTGTTATGGTCTGGAGACCCTTCCATACGGATGCACAGTCATTCAAGGAGAACTGCTGTTCCAGCTTTCCCCTGTGTCTGTGTTTGGCGGCCCTGACTGCGAGTGCATACTTGGTCTTTTTATATGCATCCCGGTCGCCACTTTTACAGGCTTCTTCCCTGGCAGAGCGTAGTTTTCCTAGCTCAGCGGTGAACCAAGGTTTGTTGTTATTGTACTTGCAAACAGTCTTTGTTGGCATGCAGGATTCCTAAAAAAAAACTGATGTAAGAAGTAACTATATCGGCATAGTCATCCAAATCCAATAATAAGGTGGAAGAGGGAATGATCAGTTTCCAAGTGGGGCTCGGATGATTGCCTGGTATGCATCTTTAATGATGCTGTAACAGTGCTCCAAGGTTTTGCCTTCTCTGGTAGGGCAACTCATCAATTGTTTGTATTTTGGCAGTTCAACACTCAGATTGGTATGATTGAAGTCACCCATAATGATAACTGGAGAGTCTGAATATCTTTGCTCTAGTGTACCTCCAAGATCTGGTCAGCCAGCTGTTGTTGTGCTAAGTGAGTGTTGGCAGGAGGGGGGATATACACCCCAACCAGAATTATAGAGGCAAATTCGCGAGGGGGATAGAATGGCTTACAACTGATGATAAGACTTTCCAAATAAGGGGAGCACACTCTGGCCAAGACAGACACATCGCTGCACCATCTTTGGTTAATATAAAAACATAATCCTCCACCTCTTTTCTGACAGAGAGGAGTCGCAGTCCGCTCTTAACAGTGGGTAGCTACGTTAGATGGATGGCTCAATAGATAGGTAGCTGTCTCTAACAGTGCTTTTTCCTCATCCATCCCCCGTGTTCCTAGCTACACATGTGAGAAGGGCAGGCAGGGGGAAGGCGTGTCCAGTTCCATGTGACAGAGAAGCAGAAAAGGGGGTCACAGAGGACGCCACCAGTCGGGTCTCTGGACACGGCCTGCTTTGACCCCAGCTTTGCCCCGCCATGACCGGCCTGCTGTCTGCCCTGCTCCTGGTTCCAATCCGGCTCTGCCTGCGCCTGCAGTCTCTGTGTTACTGGGCGCTGGTGTACAGCACCGCCGGGCTCACCGCCACCCTGGTCCTGACCCGTATCACATGGAGGGGCCTGCGAGCCCCTCGGCACGTGTTCCGCTGGACCATGCGTCAGCAGCCCCCTGCCTGTCTGAGGGACCCCGTGCTGGGCGAGCACAGCTACCTGCGCGGCATGGTGAGTGAGGGGGCAGGACTGGAGTGAGTGAGGGGGCAGGACTGGAGTGAGTGAGGGGGCGGGGACTGGAGTGAGTGAGGGGGCGG